GTAGCACTTACTCTTGGAGGAGACGAACTTTTAGTATCATCATTATCAGATTCCAATGATCTCTTTTTTCCTTGAGAAGCTGATTTTTCTAAAAAAATAAAATAGGCATAATATAGCTCATGATATAAAAATTAAATACTATTGAATGAGAACTATTAATATAAATTTTATAAATTCAACCTTTTTTAACTGGAGGAACAGTTGGAGCTCCCATTTTCTTCTTATTTAATTTAATTTGTGCTTTTTGCATCTAAACAAAATTAGTTATTAAGTAAATATTAAAAATTAACTAAGTTTGTTATGCATACTTTTTTTTTAAGCAATTTGTTGGGAGATAATCCTAGTTTTTTTTGTTTCGGACTTCCTCCTTCAGATGAAGATTCTGAACCACTTGAATCAGAAGATTCTGAAGAACCTGATCCAGATACTGATTCACTGCTTGATGAAGATGAAGAGGTATGAGTAGTAGCCGGAGACTTAACTCCGCTTGGTTTATTTGGAAACCTAGGTGGCATTGGCATTTGTCTAGCTCTAAAAAATTGTTTCGTATAATATTTTACAACAATAATATGCAATAAAAATATGGACTTACCTTTGTACAGGTTGAATAGAAGATGGTGTATTTGTAGGGGAAACAGACCACCTATTAGTTGGCACTGGGGGATTCATTGATCGACTCATTGGTTTTTTGTCAAATGCATCTGGAGAAGGATTTCTCTCTAAAAATATGTAAAAATTAGTGGTATGCATACAATCGTTACATAATGTAATATTCATTTAAATTGAATTCAATCATTTTAAATAAATATGAAGGCAGTAGTCAACAATTATTTTTGGAAGATTTTATCAACTATAGATAAACTTTTGTTACATAATAGACAAAAAATATGAAATGAATGTGATAAACATATGATGTTATCAGCTAACTCAGAATTTAAGCAAGTAAACCTTTTTAAAGAATAACTAAATAATAATTACCTGGCTTTCTATTTGTTTTGCGGCCAGGGGATGTTTTAAATGACAATGGAGGTGCTTTCTTTCTATTTTTAGTAACTGAATTAGATCTACCTCTTGAACGACTACGTGAGGTATAACTTGAGTTGCTTGAACTACTGCTGGACCTGTGAACATTACTGAGATGTATGATGTAATTTAGTAGATAAAATATAAAATTATTTAGTACCTGGATGACGAGAACGAAGAATGAGAAGAATAAGACTTTTTTCTTCCTCTAAGTTTAGATCGGCCTCCAGGTGATTTAGATCTCATCCATGGATCAGACCAATCATCTCCTCTACGTGGTCGACTTGATGACCTATCTCTTCTATTACGATGACCAGAAGGTTGGGGGCTACATACAATTAACATAATATTGGGAATTAAATAACAATTAATTTAAAATCTAAAAATTGAATATCATACCTGTAAGATTTTTCAGAGCGCTGCATAATTACTTCTCTGTTAGGAGGATACTTAGGAGGCAAGCCTCGATGATGAGGTTTTAAACCTGGATGATAGTAGGGTTCAGGGGGTGGATATGGATAATATGGATTCCTCCGAGGGGGGGCATGAAAATCTATTGGATGCCCAGGAGGAAAATGTGGTAGAGGACGACCATGATGAGGAGGCCAAAATTCTGGTCGGTGGTGGTAAAAATCTACTTGTGGTGGCATAAATTCATCCACGTAAGCATCTGGAAGAGGACCCCTATGGTGCCGAGTTTCTAAATCAGGTTTACTATAAAAATGTAAATAATACAATTAAAATATGATAACTAGTTTAATAACATTTTTCTTTTGTACTAACAATCTTTCAATAGGAGGGCTTAGTGCAGGTGAAGCAGTTGGACTAGTTGGACGCTGCTGGGCATAGTAATCATTTTCTTTTTCTACTTCTTCTTGATTTGATGTTAAGTTCATTTTTTTTTCTTCAAAGTCAATATCAGTTTCTTTTTTTTTATTAGACTTTTTAAGAATCTAATATTATGTAATAGAAATATTGATAACAAATTAATAAAGAATTATTTTACAGTTTGAAATTTACAATTAATGTAAGTAATACACTTTACCTCTTTAGCTTGACGTAATCCTCTTTCCCAAGCAGTTTCTACAGGAGGTATGTCATCTTTTTTTATTGGTGCAATCGGACCTCCAGGAATCTAATCAATATAACTCCCTTATGTCGATATTATAGTTTAAAAGAGATTAACTAAAAACAATATTTACCAAAGTTCTTTCATGTGTTCGATAAGAATCATTTGGATAAAATGATGGTAGGCCACCAGGTGGTGGTATTGGGCGTACCATTTCAAACATTGAATAATTGCCTTTGTCCGCAACACCCGGATGCAAAAATCTAAAAAATCATTATTGATAAATTCCTTTAGGTCTTAAAACATTTTTACCGGATCGGTAATCATTACTCACCGACAGCTTGCACCCCATGTGCATTGTCCTCTAGAGTAAAACCGACATATCGGCCTGGGTTCTGTCTCTTCTGGCCGATGTTCACCTTCATCAGAAACTTCACCCTCTTCAAGTTCCTCAGGTTCTTTTTCTTCTTCAACCTCAGTCTCGTCTTTAACTGGTTTTGGCTCATCGCATTCACCATCTTCCCCATCTTCAGCTTCAAAGTCTAAAGGCTCTTCAGGATCATTAACTACATTAGGCTCAGTCTTAGCATCCATATTGTTATGACCGTTAATTGGAATAACTATTTCTTTCGGAGGAGAAGGAGTGTCATTATCACTTTTCCATTCTTTTGCACTTTTCTGTAAAAAAAATAAAAAAACATTATACTGTTAAGTATTTATCATCTGAGTTAAATTTTGAAAATAATTTGTTTACTTGGGAGGCATTATCATCATTTATATTGTCCATTGAGTCTTCGTCAGAAACATCCGATAAATAATTATCGTGAGGTTCCTTAGTTTCTTTATCGGATTCATTGCTTCTTGACGAAACTTTGGATGATGGTCGAGAATGGCTATTTCTGTCTGGAGAACCAGCTGTAGAAGATATACGACTCGATGAACTAGATTCAGAACTTGGGCTTTGTGGATCATCATTTTGTTGATGTTCAGGGCTACAGGGTTCGGCAACAGGACTTTTAGATTTAGATGATGAACTATCAGGTGACTGAGGATCATCATCATCATCGTCATCATCATTGTCCTGTTCTGGACTTTGGATTCCATTATCTATGCTTTGAGACCCAGACGTATTATTGTCGGGGCTCTGTGGGGCCGAATTATGACTGGATGCTGAAGGCGAACCGCTGACAGATTGCTCTCTAGTAACATTGTCTGGTGATGCAGATCGGCTTGAGTTATTTGATTGAGAGTCATCAGAATTTGAAGAATTGTCTGATTCCATTTGTGCACGTTAAATACACAACTCCTAAGCATACATAATTTCTATTAGAAAATTCCATGTTTAAAATGATTAATATTATTAAGTTCAGGATAAGAAGCATGAATAGGTGAAATTTGTCTAAAAATATAATCCTGAACTTGTAATGAATCCTTTGAAATATAACATTGAAAAAGTTCAAATAAAATTATGAAATTTATAAGTATTAAATCAGTAGAACGACCATTTATCCTGTAAAAGCCCAGCCCGCCCAAAGATCGCTGTTTTCTGGTAGATCTTACCTTCCATCGCAGAGAGCATATCGAGGTGCCGAAATATAAAACGGGAACACACTTTTTGTCGAGAAATACATAACTTTAATACTTGGAACAAGTTTACGGAAGATAGAGCAACACACGATCGACGAGACTTTCACGACACAAACTAACTGATTTAAGTAAAAATAAAAACGGATATCCGGTATATCTAAATGTACTCTCGGCTTGAATTAAGTTTAAAAAAGTCGTCGATTTAAGAAATACTCTTATTTTTTTTTCGCTGAAAACTAATTGAAGAAAGAAGAAGATAAAATGCACAAATAAATTATTCATATTATTATTATTGTTATCATAATGGTTCATAATATATTGTTATGATACATATTTCGACATCATTTTATTATTATAATTATTATAACCGTCGTCAAAAGACAATAATAATTAATAACAACGATAACGAAATGACAAAACACACACGCAAGACGCAACACGACGACGACTGGCGGCGAATCGTGCGTGCCACAAGCACGGTGTATACGGACACGATTGCCGGTGTGTCCGCGTTGTCGTCATTTACCTCATAATAATAATATATTAAAATAAAAATATGTTTTTAAAAATAAGTCAGTCACCCGGTGCCAGCACGGACGCCGGTTCTCTCACCTCTTGGGTACGATTCTTGACGGTGTCTGATTGACCGTGGCCGGGCCGGACTCTGGCAGTTAGGCGGTGGCGGCGGAGAGTAGGGCACTGGAGGCCCGTTGCTCACTCGCGACACGGGGTTTGGGCTAAAAACATGGGTCACAGTGCGATGGCGTTGTTCTGAGACCGCCCGATGACGATGGTCGGTGGGAGCCCTCGGAAACTGAGTGCGTAGCGTGCTGTAAGGCTAAAACGACAGGCCCGACAAATCGCAGCAAAATCGGAGATCAAAATGGCCGCGCGTTCAGATCGGTGCGGCAACTTGGATAATGGCTATTCGCTACTGTTGCTGTTGTTTGCGGTACCGGCGGCGGCTACGGTAGGTCCGGTTGCGCTGCGTTCGTCGTCGTCGTCGTCGTCGCCGTCGTCGAACTATTTTGTAGGTGTAATCGACTGTGGAGTGCGGATGCCTCGGCGAAGTGACGGACGTCGAGCGAGCAGATCGGCGACGCTCAGCAGTGCATGCACTGGCCGCGGCGATGCATTACCGTGGTGCACTGTAATATTATTGCTCGTCGTCAGGGGGAAAGGTGCGGTCGGCTGATGCTCCAGATCGTTCGGTCGTGGAATTGTCATACGTTTCACGGGGTGCGAGGCTACACTGAATTTTACCTCCATAGATGCATGGCACTCCTCCATGATTGCTCAGATAATATTAATAGCGTCCCTGCGTCCAACGATTAAATACTCTAAATAGTGATAACTGATTCAATTTTCACACAAAGCGTCCCTCCCTGCCTCTCGTAGTCATAGCCCGTGGCGTCCATTTAATCTTAATTTACAACTGTATTTAAGTATTTTCTTGTAGACTTGTGGCGACTGGTGAATGGTTTACGATTGTTGTTCATCACCTCTACGTGGACGTGATTTTCACTAAAACTTCGGCGATCCACATCAATATACCACCAGCAGTAACTGCTTTCCGTGCTCCATATTTTGTGTATGTACTACGCCAAAATCAAAGTCTTCATCATCATCAGTAGTGATTAGTGAAGCGGCATGGCCACATGGTAGTCGGCTCGACGTGTTAATGTTCCGACCACTGTCAATACGACTGATCAAATTAATTTTGACCTTCAGATCAATTTCAAGAAAAAATAAATATTATTGCAGGTAATTGTTGTTTAATACTTTATAAATATTTAAATATTATTCTTGGAATCATAATAAGGCATGTTCCGTTTAATACCAATGCTTATTTTTCAATTTTCACTTTGTTAAACATAAGCATAGAACACCTTTTATCGCCGTTGTGTCTGTCGGTTAGTTAGGTACCAGTACTTAGTTACAATTGTTGATATTAAAATACTATTCAATAAATTAGATCATAGTTTTATATTAGCACATAAAACTAATTCAATGTTTATATTATTGTACAATTTAAAAACATTATTATTGTTCTAACATAGGTAGATATGTTTTTTTGATGGGTACAAGTTTTCAATTCTGACCGATTTCGCGTTTTAGTCTTAGGTTGCCCCTAACAACCGTTAAATAATCTAACTACGTTACCAAAGCAACCTCATCAATACAATTTTTTCAAGACATTAAATTGTGAGTTAGTACTATTGTATTAAAAGGACCAGCAAAATCATATCTACGAATTATTGTATTTCCATGCAGCAGAGAAAATATAAAAATAATTTTCCGGCAGGGCCTAGGTTGCTCCCTAGTAATCGATGCATAATATAATAACTTTACCATATAAATTATGCACAAGGATGTTTTATTTAATCACAATGTTATTTCTTTAAACTTGTGCTAAAGTAGTTATCAATAAAACTCATCTTTATAAATATATTATTTGAAATTTGTAATTATGACTTCTAATTCTGAACGCCATAGCCAATCATCGAGAATTCGAAGCAAGTTATTTTCGGTATGCCTCTCAACCATTGTCAACATTTGGTGCAGAAAAGTATGCGATATTTAAATCTTATTGTCAAACTATGGAGGTGAATGAACGTAAACGGACACGCCGAAGCTGCTCGACAGAAATATTTTTATTTATATTAGTATAATAGTGTCAACACGCCTGGTATTTTTACAATGTTTTTACAATTATAAATTAATTAATTAAAGTTTACAATGAGTTAATGGATACAATTTTAGCTTAATTTAGATAGTCCTCCGTGGCTTTAGTCTGCGGTTTTTAGTTATTTTCCCAATGTTGAAGTGAAGGGCGCTATTTTTTTTAGTTTCGTATGAAATTTTTTAAATTGTTCAATTATCCATGTGTTTATGTAAGGTATTCCAGTGTTGTGGAGTTGTGTTCCGCATGAACCATGGGGCTTTAAGAGCTATTCTGAGAAATTTATTTTGTGTATCGTTTGTAGTTTTTTAATTTTTGTTTGGGATGCAGCTGCCCATATCGGGCATGCATATGTACATATGTAATTAAAGGTCTTATTATTGATGTGTATATTAGAAGTGAGCATTTAATTTGAAACGTTGAGCTGTAATTTATTAGGGGGTATAAGATTTTCAATCATGTATCTCAACGCAAGCAGCGTTTCTCAACCAGGGGGTCGTGACCCCCAGTAAGGGGGGTCGCAAACACCTTGACTTGGGTTCGCTTAGGTCAAAAATAATAATAATAAAATTATCCTGATAAGGATATACATAGATATGGTATTTATAAATTGATATTTAAAATGTTATATTTCGTTTGGTTAATGATAGGATATTCTTATTGTTCAAATTTTTACCTAATATAGATGGAGAGGGGGTTGCGAAATGATTGACCATATTTGTTGGGAGTTTTAGTTTTGTTAATTTGGACATGAGACCTTGGTGCCAGACCTTGTCGAAGGCCTGTGCGACGTCAAGAAAGGCAGTGGTTGTGTATTTTTTATTTTCAAATCCATCTACTATTATTTCTGAGATTCGCTGAAGTTGATGACATGTGGAGTGGTGAGGTTTGAAGCCGGATTGGTGATGTGGAATAATTTTTAGGTATGGCTTCATTCTGTGTAGTATCCTTTCTAAAAGTTTGGAGAGGGTAGATAGTAAGCTAATTGGTCTGTAGCTTTCCGTTAAACTGTTTCGTTTCCCAGGTTTGTATAGGAATGATAATTGCTTGTTTCATGGTATTTGGAAAATATCCTATTCTTAAAATATTCCAGTTTAAAAGACTGGCTAAGAACGCAAGTGCTTTTGGGGTAAGGTTTTTGAGAATTTTATTTTTAATAAGGTCGTGCCCAGGACTTTTTTTATTTGCAAGTCTATCTATTACCTGTTTTATTTCCTGAGGACTGCATGGATGGATAGTATTTTGTTTCTGTAGAATATATATTAGTAGAGTCTATTTTCTGTGTTATTTCTGTAGTAGTAACCTCAGTTGTGAAACAATTTTCAAAGTGCTAGGCAAACATTTTGCATTTGTCAATGTGTGTTTCGTATTTTACTAGTCCAACTTTAAGGGGAGGAATAGTGTCTTTTTGTGGCGGTCCATAGGCTGGCATCATTTGGATTCAGTTTTTAAGATATGCTTTGTAAGATATAAATTTATTGTTATAAAGTTCCCATTTGACTTTACGTGTTAATTGGTTTAGTCTTTTTTAATTTCTATTTTTCTCATTCTTTGCCATATTCTACTTGCTTTATGTTTTTCTTTTACTAGATATTGAATGTGGAGCGGTAGAGAGGAGTTTTCTCATGGTTTACTTTTTTTTGGATTTTCTGGTACTAAGGCGATTTGATTGCATTTTTTATTGATTCTGTTAAATGTTGTATGTTGGTGTCTATTTCTTTATTATTTTGATGAGATCTGTTTATAATAAGGTTTTTGTTGAGATTTTCTCTGAAAATGTCCCAGTTTATTGGCTGGTTTATTAATTTTGGAGTTTGAGGAATTAATTCCATTTGTTAGTACAAAGTGGTAATAACTGGAACGTTATCCGAGTCTAGTTCATTAACAACTTGGTGATATAACTGTGTTATGAGATTTGAGACTAGAGCAATGTCTAAATTCTTAATTCTGATGTGAATTGGAATAGTTTATTACCATTTGGGTTTGTTTTTAGGCAACCCCATTTTTCATTTTTGGAGTTTAAATCTCTTAAGAGTATGGATGGGTTTTCTTTGAAAAGTACATTTATGTCATCTCTTTGAATTTTTTTGTTTGGAGGATTGTAGGCGGATATTAATTTAATTTCAAATTTGCCAGTTGAAACCGTTATGGAAATTGCTTCAATATTGATCAATTCGGGGTTGGTTAATTGGTGATGTTTAATAGTTCTTTTCATTAGGATTGCTATTCCACCAGATGAGTGGATGGTGTCTATCCATTCTGTATATATTTTAACCGTTGATCTTGTATGTTTCTGTGTTTTTGAGGTGAGTTTCTGTTACTCATACTTTGCCTATCTTGTGACGAGATAGAAATTCCATAAGTGAAGATTTTTGGATTTCATGCCATTAGCATTACAGTTAACGTGTTTGATTTCTTTTTAATTAATGTATGTTATTTAGACCGGATAAAGATAGATTGTTTGAAATCGAGTTGAAGATGGAACTAATGATGGACTATATGCTATGTAGAATATTTTCGATAAATTGGGTTATTGTTTTTTGGAGGTTTTTATTTAGCGATTCAGAGTATGTATGTTCATCGTTTTTTTTAATATTTTGGGTAGGATTTGTATTCCCTATGAGTATATTTCCGTGGGAGTTCTAATTTATTGTTTTTTTTTTTTTTTGTGAGATTATTGACGATTTCATTGATGGTTGTGTCTTTTGGTGAATCATTTTCGATTAATCGAGGTTTTTTGATGTTGTTTATTTTTTTATTTTTTATATTTTTAAAAAAGGTGCAACCATTATAATTTGCCGGGTGAACTCCGTTACAATTTACGCTGTTAGGTGGAATTTCTGATGTTTTATCACAGTTTGAATAATGATGTGAGAGATTATATTTCACACATCGTGGTTGGAGATTACAAGATTTGTGTAAGTGTCTGAATCAATTTGTACATTGGGGAGGGTCTTTCGATCTCCGACGTGGTTCGGTTATAAATATGCAGTTTAGAAGCTTGTTGAGATTGAAAATTTCTTGTAATTTATGATGATTAGTCAGTAAAGTTGAACTGCTATAAGTGGGGTTGGGGTTTTATCTTTATTGGTAAGCCTGGTTACTGATTTTACTGGGTATTCCATTACTTCAAATTCGGTTATTGACATTGGTAAATTTCTTATATTTGCGGAGATATCTTTTTCAGTTTTCAATCTATAGGTTTTATATTCATACTTTTCTTCGTCTTTTATCAACATTTTCAATTAATATCAATAATAATATCATGAGTCTTTTTTGTTATCAGTTTGGTACCAAACATGATTGAGAAATACCATGTTCTTGGTTATTGACATAGATAATAAAGACCTTATAACCTTTATTATCTATGGTTATTGAACAAACGCTCTGCTGTTATCAAAATAAATTAAATGATAATAATGATGACTGACGGTTTCTCTTATTTATGCCATGATAGAAATAACCTTAAATTTTATCATGATTATTTTGTGTTCTATGCATTCAGCATTGTCATTGTGCGATCTACGTAACCGTTAGAAACTTCGCTACTCGCACGTGTTATTTAATTTTTTTCTGTTTTGCTAAGTTTCATTATGGTTTAAATTGTTTAATACGAACTTTTTGTTTTTATATGTGATTTTTAAATAGTAATAAATTATTTAAATTTAAATAAAATAAACTATGGACAACAAATCAAAAATAACGTCTTTTTTCACTGCTATTCGGTATACAGAGTCTACTTGTATTAAGTATTAGTATATGATAAAAATATGTATTATGTAAAATAATTAAAAACTCAAAAATAGTAAATGGTCTTATGAATATGGTATATTTATTTAATAAAGAGTAATTTGGGGGGTGGAGGGCAAGCCCCTCCACAGCTTTGTATTTTAAAAATTATCTGGACCCTCCCCATGACAAATTCCTAAATACGCCACTGGGTTAGAGTACGGAAGTCATCTACGGTTTCTAAGTTCACTTTTATTCTATCATAATTTTAATTTATTATGAATCTAAAAAGGCTATATAATAATCCAAGTATATGATATATTCTGTTTTAAAGATGATAAAATATATTTATTTTTATTATGTGATAATTACAACTACACATTTACTCAATGAAAAAGAATTAGGTGTATCATATTATTATTTTTATTTATTTTTTTAGTGACTATGATGTCCAGCCATGATGAAACTTATAAAAATATGATGAATGGTTTCCGTACCTGCGATTTTCAAAATCTATTGGGAGCTTTTGGTCGAAATAAAGCTGGACGAAAAAACGAATTAAAAGAACGGGCTCTTGAATTATTAAAAAATAAACCTACTGGCTTTAACCATTCGGCATATGCAGCAAAAATATTTGAAATATATCGTTCTATGCAATCAGATATGCCTAGTAATAACGAAATGATGCGTAGCATATTACAATCACAACAGAGACAAGTTATGAACATGGGGCAGATACAGCCGTCCCATCAAAGAATGTATCAACCACCGCAATATCCTCAACAGGCAATGCAAATGGCCCGAGCTGGATTACCACAAGTTGTGCCTCAAATTCAAAGAGGCATTTATGGTAATCCCATTGGAGCAAATACTATGGCTAACAATAACATTCAATATATATCCGGCAGTTATCAGCCTTCTGGACCTCGTTCTGTAGCTCCATCTCATTTGTCCTCAAATCAACAAATTAATGGAGTGTCACAAGATACATTAGTGTATGATAATACGAGAAGTTCAGCAGGTGGCAATCCACCAGGTAACAATCCTTACACTCCATCTCCTGAAATTGTTGCCAAAATCAACTTCAAAAAATTACCATTTTATGAGATTATTGAGGATATCATTAAGCCAACTCTTCTAGTTGGGTCGGACAGATGTACATTACAAAACTATCCTAGAAGTAACAATATATTTTATTATTTATATTTTTTTAGTTAATTATATTTATAATATGCATTTATTTCAGATATGAGAGAAGCGTCATTCAAACTTTTTCTGACAGCCGATGTCGTTAATTATGTTGCCATGCATCGTGACATTTCTTCAGGAAAAAATGAATATATTTATCAGTTCCAGATTCGAATTGGTCAGTTATTGGAACCTATGAGTAATGAGGTAACAGATTTTATGCCTATTGGATTACACATTCGATTGGGTTCAAAAGTATGTCCATTGCCACCTTCTGCCCCTAATACTCGGCCAGGAGCTGAATCTAGACGATCTCCAAGACCTATAAATTGCACTCAAATTGTTAAACTTTCTCCAATTACTCCCAACAACCTCTTTATAAATTGGACTCCTGATGGAAAAAATTATGTTGTATCTATGTATCTAGTAAAAAGATTAACTTCAGAAACATTGATACAAAGACTTAAAGATAAAGGAGGTAGGAGTTCAGAAGAGACTAAAAACTGTATAATTAAAAAGTTAGCCGATGTTGATCCAGATTTGGCCACTACATCTTATCGATTTTCGTTGGTATGTCCATTGGGTAAAATGAGAATGAAGATACCTGCAAAATCTATTCATTGCGACCACTTACAATGTTTTGATGCGAGTACATTTATTTTAATGAATGAAAAAAAGCCAACATGGATGTGCCCAACATGTAATAAACCTTGTTTGTATGATGACATACAGATAGAGAATTATTTTTTGGAAGTTGTCTCAAGTCCAACGCTAAAGGATTGCAGTAAGGAAATTGAAATTTTGGCTGATGGCACATGGAGAGTTTATGAAGAAAATAAAGAGACAAAAACCACAAATAGTACTCCTGATGCAAAATTAAAACCTATTGATTCTGTGGATTTAGATAGTGACGATGAAAAATCTGACGATACGAAAGCAGAATTTAATCCTGAAACTGCCAAACGCCAAGAAAATGAAAACTTAAACTTTGTTGATTTGACATTGAGTGATGACGAAGAAGAACCGCCAAAAGATAAAGATAAACAAGAAAATGAGGCCCAAGCTGTTGATGCTATACAACCAGTTGCTGTTGTTGATTTAAAACCACAAGCTCAAGTACAGCCACAACAAGCTGTCACCAGTTCTGAGCAAGGAGTAGTAATTGAAATTGACAGTCCATCCCCTCCTTCAAGTCCTACCCCGACAACTGAAGCCTCCTAATTTTTTATTTTATTTTTTTATTGTAATGAAAACAATTCTGATATATTTTAAATTTTTCTAATTTATAAGTTCTACTGTGTGTTCTTATACCATATAAACATATGATAAAAATAATTCTTAAAATATTACATTTAATAAATATTTAAACATTCATATATTAATATTCTCCTTTTTTAAAATATTATTTGAATACAATTTAAATTAAATCTAGTGACATTGGCGGTCTTTGACGTACTACTTATGTAAGTGTCTCAAATTCAAATTCCCAATGGGCCATATGTAAGTCAAAGTAGAATGCACAGAGCAGTGACCTGTTTCCAATTGTCAGCTTCTCGTATGCTTTGATACAAGCGACCAATGAGTTGCGGAGAACATAACACTCAGTAAAAAATGGAGGAAATGTGTATCCAATGTTGCTGACCTACTTCTATACTTGTCATTGTTTTAATGACTTAATCTGTAGATGCATATAATATCTATCGCCTGCATATACATTTTATTTGATATTCATTTCTCTGTTATCATAGAATATTGTTTTATTCCCACCAATGATTAATCAGTATGTTTATGGAATAGATAACAATTTATCTTCTGTAAGAAAAGAGTCAACAATATTATAGTAGAAATGTGGCAAGACAAACTATACAAATATGTAGAATAATTAAATTGTAATACATTTGAATTTAATCCATTCAATATATTATTTTTATTTTATTAATTAAAATAATATTAACAGTCTGTGAGTTGTTACATCTTAAATGAAGAAACAGTAAGAAAAATTGTTATAATGACAGTAAAAATTATGAAAACATGTTGGTGGCTGGCCTACTCACTATAATAGCACTTCAAATTGTTTTTGTTATGTACAGGCATGGTTTAGGGAAACTTCTGTCTTATACTTTCATGTTGTATTATGATTTTTGAATACAATTTTTCTTTTTCTTCGATTTAAAATATCATAACTCTGAACTTCAACTATACTAGAAAATAGAAACCGAAAACGGAATATTATTTATTTATCATTACCTACATATGAACAACAACATTATAGACCTATCAGCTATTGTTAAAAATTTAACAAAATTTGTTAAATCGAGTTTTATATTGTTATATAAAAATAAAAAACAACGATTATTATTTTGATATAAATTATTGAATTGAATTTTACCTTTTTCAATATAAATTTTGATGTTGACATCACTTTATTTCTTAGATTATTTTTACTATTTTTTTTTTAACTTGACTGATCACGATTTTTATTTGTAATTTTTACTATTTGTACTCTATTAGTCTTATTAAATGCTAGGTTTCTAAACATAATATATTACCGTCCGTCCATCCACTAGTTACCACTTTACCAGTACATAGTAAGTTACGATTGTTGGCGGCAGAGAAGTGTAGTATTGTGCAAACAGACCTTCCTCTGAGGTTGGTTCTATCCGGAAAAAATAAAGTTACGATTGTTGATTTTTATTTATTTATTGTCTATAGTTAGTAGTTAGGTACTGACTTACTGTACGTAAATTGTCTATAGAATTATAATGTATTGCGCTGTATCGAAATACGTTAATTATTCAGGGGGTATAAACTCGGTTTTGCATGTTCGCAGCCCGTAGTGTCGGCTTTCCTAACTTGTTTATTTTTCCAACGTTGTAATGTGTTAAACCATCTTTTTAAACCTTGAAAAATTCAATTAAAAATGTATTCAAATAGCTTAAATTAATTTATAATGGTATTATTCAATTGTTTTGAGTTAAACTTAATATGTCCCGTATTTAATTTATTTCCTACTATCTATTAATTGCATAATATAAGTGAGACTAGATATATTTGACCAGAGGACATTTATAATTCGAAAATTATATTTATGTCTCATGAAGTATAGCTTGATAATAAAGCAAAATGGAAAAGTTTGGTTTATATTTCCATTGTTTTTCCTTGGTCTTTTTTACCTTATTTTTTTGTGTACCAATTTATGGGTAAGAACAAATTTCAGAGTTGTGTACCCTATATTTGTTCTAACCATTAAGAAAAAATAATTTGTTCTGATTACATAATTCTTGAGGGCTGGGACCTTACCTGAATCTGTGTTAAAAATTTGGTACACAATTGACAATACATATATACATAAAAACCATTTTGCTACCTACTAGAAGAGGTCTAAGTAATGAGTACTGAAAATCAGCAAAAGATAGAGAACGCTCTTCGATCACTCAGCTTCTCATATGTATGGTAGTGAGAGGAAAACTGCAAGATATGTAGATACCTATATAAATAAAAATTGTATTTTATCGTCAGAGCGTCCTACGTCACTGCGAGATGATTTACCGCCGACCGTAACGTTGTAGGTTGCTAAACAACCGTTGCTTACTAAAAAAAACAATAACTAATCATTTTCTAGCAGTATAAGGTATTTATTGGCAAGTGGCAACCAATATGAAACTTCATAATTTTTACTATAAAAAGTACTTACTTGGGGTATTATAGTTATGGTCAATTAAATGGTTTTCTATTGTTATTTGACCTTCCAAATGTGCATAGTTGTGTTCATTCAATACATCAACTTGTACAACTTGCTCCATGATTTATTTTGTAAAATTAAAATTCAAATGAGGACTAAAATAATTACTAACAACAGTCAAAATTCAAAGAGAAAACACAAATCTCTTTTGTCAAGAAAGCTCAAAAGACACTATGTGCATTGAATCTTCTATAGTTATAGGTACAAACTACAAATTTAATTTAATTAGGGAAAACATGTTTTTTGTTGTTTGGATTATAAATAGTATAAAATATATAACTTGGATCATGGTAAACATCATAATTTACAGCAAACATGGTGATCTTCCTAAAGGAAATCGTTAGAAACCTATATCATGGTACATAGTAAATTGACAAATTTAAAAATTTGTATATTATGTAAACCTTACTGAATAATTATTGTTGTGTATTACTAACATGAATCATAATACGAACATATATTATGGTCATTTATTTTCAAACGTATACATCATAATGGCATATAATAAAATTATGTATTGGCTACTGACCGATGGACAATCCCCACCGATCGTAATATGATACTTATTATTATTACTTGAACACTACATTTCTTATACAATATAGATGCTGATTATTCAAGAATTATGAAAATATAATTTATTTTTTACTAATATTTGAATTGGAAAATAAATATATTTGAATTTATTATAAACAAGCGGATTTTTTTTTTTGTGTTGGCGTCACCCTTACAGCGGTTAAAGTGGGAGTTTTACTTTTCTAAGTTGGCAACAGTGAATTCGAAAATTCCGCTATCATTAATTGTGATTTTGGAAGATATTTTGGTTTGATTGTCAGTAGGCGACTCGCTGTCAGCCTTCCGTGCAGGTTACCAAAATCATAAACAACAAAAGTTTACGGATATAAGTAAGGTTTTATTTATTAACAATCAAAACAAAGGTTAAAGCATATATTTAACAAAGAGAAGAAGAAAAAACGTGGTTTTTTAACGACGTGCATAACAATATCGCGGGGTGTACAATCGGAGGGGAAAAAGTCGATGTGTGTTTGACGACGTCCGTCAGCGAAGAGAGCGAGCTCATCGGCACTCGGTAGGCGATTAGGTGGAGGCTAGCGACGCTCGGCGCGCGCTACGGATATTGACCGCTAGAGAGGGGGCGCGCAGCTGACTACGGCCGGCGCGCTGATACCGCGGTAACGTTGTGGGCCGCCACACTACTCCCCCCGAGGAGGAAAGGAAAAACGTACGCGTTTTTCCGGCTGCTTCTCGACTTCGGCGTGTGTTGAGTAGGTGTGGTCTGTGGCTGTAGGATCTTCTCTGAGAACGAAAGCAGGCTTCAGGCGGTCGACGGATACCAAAACCGAGTTGTTGTTGCGTTGAATCTTGAAGTTCTTTTCATGACGTTGTAGAATTGCGTACGGACCTTCGTATCTTGGTTTCAAAGGCGGTTGAACTGCGTCGACACGGAGAAACACATGAGTGACTTTGTTCAAATCCGGCGGTACGAAAATTGATCGCTTCGTTGCGTGGTTCGATCCGGGTGTCGGCTGTAGTTGCGTCATAGCGTCTCGTAGCGTTCTGACGAGCTCAGGCGCAGTCTTAGCTTCGGCCGGGGCTGGGTGGAACAATTCGCCGGGTAGTCGCAGTGACATACCGTATACCATCTCGGCGGGTGAATGACCGATGTCCGGCTTGATCGTGTTCCGGAGGGCCAGTAGGACGACGGGAAGTCGTAAGTTCCAGTTCACGGTGTCCTGTGCTGTGAGTGCGGTCTTAAGCGTGCGGTGAAATCTCTCCACCAACCCGTTAGCTTGGGGGTGGTAGGGAGAAGTCCTGAGGTGTTGGATGCCGAAGTTTGTTGTGAGGGCGGTAAAAAGTTCAGATTCGAACTGGCGTCCTTGGTCGGTGGTGACCGCATCAGGAACGCCAAAACGTGAAATCCACTGCGTCGTGAGTGTTGCTGCGACGGTGTAAGTTGACATATTGTCGATAGGCCATGCTTCCGGCCAACGCGTGTAACGGTCCACGCATGTGA